AAATAGACTATCGATACATCCAAGTGCTGCAGTCACTGTATGAAAACGCCACCATGACAGTTCGGCTCCAGGACCAAAACTCGAAAGCAATACGACTTCAGCGTGGAGTGAGACAGGGCGACGTTATATCGCCGAAACTGTTCACTGCCGCACTGGAGGACGTGTTTAAGCTTTTGGACTGGAGAGGACTTGGCATCAATATAAACGGCGAGTACATGACGCACCTTCGTTTCGCTGATGATATCGTAGTCATGGCTGAGACCATGGAAGATCTAGGTACAATGCTCGAAGACCTCTGTAGAGTTTCCCAGCAAGTGGGTCTTAAAATGAACATGGAGAAGACAAAAATAATGTCAAACTCCCATGTCGTACCCACTCCAGTGAATGTTGGAGGCTCTACACTGGAAGCTGTCGACGAGTACGTTTACCTGGGACAAATAGTCCGATTAGGTAAGTCCAACTTCCAGAGAGAGGTAAATCGACGGATCCAACTCGGCTGGGCAGCGTTCGGGAAGCTACGCAGTGTATTCTCGGAACATCTACCGCAGTGTCTCAAGACGAAAGTCTTTAATTCGTGCGTGTTGCCAGTGATGACATACGGTACTGAGACGTGGCCGCTTACGATGGGCCTCATAAGGAAGCTCAAAGTCGCCCAGAAGGCAATGGAAAGGGCTATGCTCGGGGTTTCTTTGCGAGATCGCATCAGAAACGATGAGATCCGCAGAAGAACGAAAGTCACCGACATAGCCCAAAGAATTGCGAACCTCAAGTGGCAGTGGGCAGGGCACATCGCTCGCAGGACTGACGGCCGTTGGGGCGGTAAGGTCCTGGAGTGGCGACCGCGTACCGGGAGACGCAGTGTTGGTAGGCCCCCCACAAGGTGGACCGACGATCTGGTAAAGGTCGCGGGAAGCCGCTGGATGCGGTAGGCGCAGGACCGATCGCTTTGGAAATCTTTGGGGGAGGCCTATGCCCAGCAGTGGGCGTCTCTCGGCTGAAGTGATGATGATGATGATGATGAAATATGAATCTAATACAAAAATTTTGAAGTCTCTCATATGCACTAAAGGTCAACAAAGTCGTAGGTTTATGCTAGTTCTTGATAAAAATGTTAGAAATGAAACAATAAATGCATTAAATTAGGTATAATACCCGAAAAATTCAATAGCAATAATATAATACATAACTGCCCGTTACACAAACGCCCATTAAAATTGTCATTACTTGGAGGCGACAAGCGGTCAGTCGCTTAAACGTCCATTAAGGTTGAATGTAGACTCACAACGCTTATTAATGTTCTTAATTTGAAAATTGGTGTCAGTGGTGAGTACTAGTGATAGTAATGTCGCTTAAACTAATGACAATTTATTGGACCTTTGTGCAACTGCATGATTATCGATTCAACTTTTCAAATTACGACTATTCAATAGAGCTTAAAGCTGTCATCAACTCTAGTGGTTATTTGTACAACTGAGCGTTATTTAGCAATATTAAACTATTTGATGTCTTAAGTATTATATTAGATTGTACAAGTCGGGTATTAACGCGATATAATTTCGATAGTTAGGTTTTTATTATGTTTGTAATTTAGAAATAAAATCTAAATAAATTAAAAGTCTCAGTTGCATCGTAAACTATCGAAACACATTTTTTGGGAGTCAAATTAGCTTGGCGATAATAGATGTAATTTCGCTTTTTCTCAAGACATTGTAGACTTTCTATTCCTAAAAAAAACTTTCCAAAACTTGGGAATTTCGATGCTGCGTAAAAAAACTTATATTATATAAGCTTATATTATTTTTGCTCAAACTTAAATAAAGTGTAATTAAGTTGAAATGGAACTATATACAATGTTTTTTATTACCTACAAGTTTTACCCAATTTACTGATTTAATGCACATTTTTCAACTGCTTCTTTTAAATTCCCTCAGTACATTGCTGTATTGTGGCAACATTTTACTTCTCAACCGCTTGTATATATTCTTAAAATTAATCCGAATCTGTGGTATGAATCTTCCTATAGCTTGTTAACTAGACATCCATCCTGCAGCTTCGACGTGAGAGGCTGCTTTATATTCAGTGATGCTCTTCAATTATTGTAATACCGCATTTAAATGCAAAGGCCGGAAAGCATGCTGACTCTCATCCATATACCAGCAGTTTGGAGTTCAAGAAAACCTCTTTATTAGTCTCGAGGTGGCTCCCGTACTAATTGCTCTGTGTAATAAACAGGGAGGTGTACTCTCAAACAAGACAATAATATGTATGATGACTGATTTTTGTTTGCCTGTTCATTTAATTACATAGGTAACGTATGTGGTGTATTCGGTGGCTTAGCAGATAAGCGCTGAGGCCCACGAACATTGTTGTTAAGCAACTTTCACACGGGATGGGTAACCAAAAATTATTATCTCAAGCTACTCCGTGCTTCGGAAGGCACGTTAAACCGTTGGCCCGGGCTGCATTTGCAATCGTTAATACCATCCAATCAGGACCAGCGTGAAGGGTCCAGCCTCCGTAACTATCCATATATAGTTAGATAGTTTCAATGCGATTCGGAAAATCTTAAGTTATTAACATTTTCATGTAACTATAATGGTAAAGGTCCATCCTGTTTATAACTTCTAAAATATGATAATTAAAAAACCGATCAAATACCAGTCGGAGTCGCGCAGCAAGAGTCGGTAACGAAAAGGAGCAAAAAATCATTTTCGTTATACGGGAGCTCCTTAAATGTCCATTTTACTCTGTATTCTTGTCATAACCGCAACAGAAATACATCACCTGAAAAAAAAATCATAGTTAGTTGAATTTTTCACGGTTCATGAAATATAGGCTGGTGACAGACAGAGAGCGAAGTCTTAGTAATACGAGTACTCTAAAAATGTAGACGTGAAATTAAATTACTTAAATATTAAAACACCTCACGTAAATAAAATAATTAAAAAGTTTAGACTTCACACGACCAAAATCACGGTAATGATTCTCAATTAAAATATAAAATAATTAAAAAGTTTAGACTTCACACAACCAAAATCACGGTAATGATTCTTAATTAAAATGGAGCACAACATTACAACGGTCCGTCAACTGACGCGTTTCCACGTTTTAAGAATCTTCCCTTTCCTAATTAAGAAGTAAAGTTCATAAATGAAGGGACTGAGTTAGATTCGCTCTAATTATCCAATCCTGCTCATTGTTCATACCTCACTGTAATAAATTTGATGGTTATTTAATTGGTAGTTAATAAAATATCAGTAGTCACCGTGTTATTGACTTCAGTGCTCGTAAACAAGTATAAATAGTAACGTAGTTTCAGATATTAATGAGAGTCAATAGTGCTAAAGTGACTATTTTTAGAGATAATAATTAACAACTTTAGTAATATATCCACATATTTCCTAAAACAAAGTCACGCCTGCCGAATTAGGACTGTGTGTTCGCTACGATTTTACTATTAGGCGCTACGAAAAATAGCCACCGTAGCAAACATGCTTTAATTCTAAATGAAAATTACTTAAAAAATCCACTTTGTCCCTGGCACTGTGAGATGGGTCTCATCTCCCTATTTATAATTAAAAACTCGTACAAACCAAAATCATTATGCCTTAGGAGCATTTTTTTAATATTATTGTGTTAACTCTTTTTACCCGACTGCGCAAGGCAAACGAAGGTAATGTGCTTATGAGTCATTCAAATTATACGGGGGCTACATTGATTGATAAAAAAGGGGTTCTGACTGTTTCTCTATACTGCTTTTGAATTTATAATATTATGTTTTATGTGTGTATAGATTTTAAAACTATTTCAATGGAGCAGTTATTCAGTAGTATAAAATATACCTATAGATTGAAATGTAAATGATTGCACGAATGTCAAGAAGTAGGACTAGGTAATAAATAATTTAGTTATAAGTAGGCTTTTGTTTTTTTTTTTCAGAGTACTTGTCGTGTGCTTGGTTTGGGCAAAATTCATAAAGGCATCTAGCAACACTGGATAAAATTTATATGCAAGCTCAAGATAAAGACTCTTTGATTGCAAAAACGTTTATAGTTTGTTTGTTACAAATAAATTATCTTAGGTAAGCTTATACACTTATTTAGTTGTTCAGATTTCTGGAGGATCAAATTGACATCAACTCTATTGCAGACTAGGTAACGTGTTTTGATGACTGTGACATACCTATAGGCCCTTGAACAATATGAGTTCTATAACAATAAATTAAAACTACTTTTTTTACTAAGAAGCTACATATTCATTCGATTCGCAAAACATAATTACAAAGATAATATTTTACATAACCTCTTAAATAACCTTATAGCCAGAACGAAGTTGTGGTATGATAACCACAAACCAATAAGGAGATATGAATTATCGCTGCAAGGTTGTTTAAGGTTAGCAAAAGTATCTTACTACCCAGTTGTCGTAATTCTAGTGTTCAAACATAGATGGCGTCGCTGCTAGTCATAAAAGCTTCAAAGTCTTTGTATGGATATTAAATATATACTAATATGATAAAGATGAAAGATTTGATTGTTTGTTTGTTAACATCGAATATGCTACAAAACTACTAAACCCATTTTAAAAATTTCTTCCTAAATCATATGCGCTGGACATAAGCTATATTTAAAGGGATGAAAATGAAAGTGGAAGTTTGTATTGGGAATTAAAACGTTTCCATAGTAATAATTGTTTACTATTCAATTTGTCATTTCTAATTATAACCCGGCAATTATATAAAACCTTATCACATAATTACATGTAGAAATTAATTTAATCACTTGACATTGGCAGAATTGTGCGAAATACGCAGATAAGCCATTAATAAAAGTAGAAAAATATGTATCAACTATCGATTTAGATAATTTAATTTTAAAGTTTATAAAAACGTATAGTTAATTTATGTTACGGTGAGGTGCACCATTAAAATAAACTAAAAACACACTTTTTTTTTAGTTATTTTATTCAACGGAAAAATAACAAAAACTTTTAAGATCACTATGGAGCCACTAATAGAGATATCGCGTAACAAGTGGTCACAACTGCAAGCACTCTACAGAAATGATTGGCCATGGGGTATAGAAGGGTTTCGTCTCCTTGACATACACATACAGTATCCAGATATGAATCAAGCTTTTAATTTCAAAGTTTATTGCCCTGGAGGGGATTTGCATAATGGCATGGTCGCCATTAGTGATATGGTAAGGCATCGTTTTTTTTAATTTTTTTACTTCATTCAGCCGTCAAATCCTATTGTATATCATATTATATATTCTGTAACTGAATGACTGAACCAAAAACATTTTTTTTTCAAAGGTTTTAAATATAATTATGGAAAATATTATTATTCCTGTCTACGTCAATGAAAGCGGTAGAGCTGCAATCCGTGATCAGATTATCTGATGCATTATTTACCTAAAATTGAGATGTTGGCTGTTATGGAATTCACTTGTTAGACAAGATAAATTACAAAATATAGAGATAACTTTTAATAAGACTTATTCACAAAACATCGAGACAGATAAAAGAGCAATAAATTATAAAAATGAAAGTCCCAAAAATTCGAATTTAAAAATAAGCAGAAACAATCACCTGGTAGTGCTGGAAAAGCTGTCGTCAATCCCCAAATATGAGACACTGAAATTCCTTCTTAAATTGATCCTAATAGGGAAAACATTTGTAAATTTTTAAGGAGGGCCAACAAATCAGCTATTTAGATAGAGTTTTATTTAGATAATAGAGCCTATTTACTTGTTTTTTTTTTTTATTTCTTAAATTCATATCTGTGAAGATTTGAGCAATAGAGGCAGTGTCAATTTCTACCTTCGTTGCATAATAAATTATTGCAAAAACATGTTTCTTTGGAGTCGTATTAGCATTCCAAAAGTAGACAAAATTTAGTTTTTGGTGAACTAGAAAAGGACTAAATCTATCAAAATATAATATACTTGTTTATAATGATACCTTTACTAGCTTTCTTGGGCTCGTTTATTACAATGATTATATAAATAATTTTGATAAAATAAAATTAAGAAGAAAAAAAAATTAAAACCACCTTCAAAACTAATCCTAATAGAAATGAAAAATAACGTAAAACTTCTATTCAAGTTGGACGTGGAAACTTCAATAAAAGCTACTCCAACTATATTTCATTTACAATGAATAATGAATTAAAGCCTAATCACTAGATCTTTTGGGTCCTAGTTTTTCTAAAACAGAAGGTAAGTGGGATTTTTACAGGGTGCTCTCTCATACTGCTGCTTTTACGAAAAAAATTATTATTATTAATTGCATTTTCCACATTCCAGGAACATTATTATCAGGTATACGTTTATCCTGTCACTAGAAATATTACCAATATAGAACATGCATTGACCAATACCAATATAATAAACTGGAATAGAACAATATGTATACCATCTGTGAATTCTGAAACTCTTGTCTGTTTAAAAATAATATGTCAACGGTTATCTTTACAACTATCCGAAGAAGTAGTATGTAAGCATTTATTAAAGAAAGAATCAAAACCATTCGAAATTTTAAAGTAAGTATTGTATTAGTTAATTTACTAGACAACGCATATATTATCCAGTCACTAAATAAAGTACTTTATGAACTTTTTATAAAGTGAATCTGAAACAACTAAAGTACCATAAAGAAAAGTAAATTTTCGGAAAATAGAACGCAGGGCCTTGTAACCGGAGTACGAGCCACTTGGCCATGCATGTTGTCATTTGTTAAGATACTCGGATTATTTGATATATAATTGCATATTATCATAGAAATTAAATTGTCAGATCAATAGTTTAGCTTGGCATAGATGATATTGCCTGAATAGTATTATTTGCGATTAAGAACAATTTTATGTGGGTTTCGTTTTTTGATTAAACTGCCTATTACACTTTAATTCGTAGGAAAGTTTTTATTTCTTACTATATTATTTTTTACTATACGTATTTTTTAATTACAGCCACCCTCTTAATACGTACGTTGCACCTCTAAAACCAGAATACTTGGATCTTATCGATCGTACATGGACTTATTATACCCCGAATAATTCTCGAAGATTCTTCGAAATATTGATGAGGAACGGTCTATCCTATGTACTATATTCTACAGATAACCACAAACCATTAGCTTGGATCTTCATTGGCGAAGCAGGTGCCTTTACACATTTGTATTGTGTAGCTACCCAAAGAGGAAAGGGTTATGCTGAGTACATTACGAAAATAGCTACAAACGATTTATTGAGACAAGGAAAAGATGTTCTCGCTTATACGTTAAAAGAAAATGTACGACCCCAGAATCTTTTTCGCAAATTAGGTTTTGATTTCTTAGATAATGTTATATATGTGGATATACAACGCATTTAGGTAGGTATGAAGCAATGTGTAAATAACGAAAGTTTATTGTTAATTATAATGTGTTTTATTGATTTTATCATACCTGTGTTGATAAGAAGTTTGGTATCAATACATTGTACAACACAAAGTCGCTTTCCGTCTGTCTGTCCCTATGTATGCTTAGATCTTTAAAACTACACAATGTTTTTTGATGCGTTTTTTAAATAGATAAGGTGATTAAAAGGAAGGTTTTTATGTAATATACGGGCGAAGGTCCCAGCGGAAATTGTCTATCAATGAAATCATAATGCTTAGATTATTATATCTATGAAGATAATAGTAGGATAAGAATACATGCACTGACATATGTAGATTTATTGTTATTTAAGAAACGTGACGTCGAAAAACGCTATAGTGAAATGCAAAAAAAAACATAAAGGAGATTAAAATAAAATTCATAAATTATAGCTGTAAGATGGATAAGTAAGATTGTACTTACTGTAACTGTAGCTGGAAGATCATAAAAATATAATGTATAACAGTTATATTAAGTGATCCATTAATCCATTCTGTGATATGTCTTATTGAGTTTTTTTTTAAACTTAAATTAATTGATATTTTTAGAATACTGTTTAAGGCTGAAAATAGTTAATATAATTCTTTGTTACACTTGTCTTCATTACTACATTTTTGTTTAATTTGGTAATGAAAGTAATATCGCACTTTGATATGAGGCATGTTGAGTTCTACAAAATAATGTCATAGATAAAATTGTAGTTTAAAGTAGTAATTAAATATCTCTGCAGTGTTTAATGAATCGTTGAACCGTCGATACGTATTTTATTACATTCCACATTAGCTAGTGAGAAATAGTCTTTATAACAATTGCCATACGGATGACTGTATAAAATTGATTTACAAACAAAAAGTAAAGACTGATTGCAAAAATGAGTAATAAATTATTTTTGGTGAGTTTATGTACTTATTTAGCTTGACACTGGTAGCTAAAAATCATCAGGAAATAACTTACTTTATAAGACAAAAAACTTTAGAACGAAATATTTCCAGAACAGTTTATTAAAACACTTTTAATACATATTATAGAAAAATACTTGGTTTCTAAATTGATAATTTATAGTTAAGCACGTTTAAGACTATACTTAAGCGTCACTTTAACAGGTTTTCATTTCTAATTTTAGTTTTTTATGATCAGTCGATAGCTGTTTGATAAAACTAGGACTCTTTGTCTTGTGAAACATAAGAAACTTGAGTTATTAAGAATAACCAGTTGAGATTATATACTTTTCTCAATTCAGAAACTGGCCATATGTCCTGTAAATCAGAACATTCTGGACGATCAAAGATAAATATATTTCATTTAACCTCATAGCCAGAGTGAAGTTGTGATATGATAACCCTGTAATATTATCTAAGCTTTGCAAAAGTACTTTACTGCCCGTTACTACTTAGTTCTAGAGTTCAAACATAGATGGCGTTGCTTTTGATTATAAATGTTCATAGTCTTTCTATAGATAATTAGTAATTATTAATTACTTATAGAACGTTACGGATACTATCAAGGTTCCTTTTCCGTTTGAGGTGCAGCTTCCTAAAATATAGTTATTTACCATAAATAGCTTGAAATTAAGTAAACAAAATACCCATGTAAATAAAACAATATATTTTGAATATAGTTTATCGGTACTGCACGTTTACACACTTTTTATTTTAGTTATTTTATTCAACGGAAAAATAACAAAAAGTATTAATATCATTAAGGAGCCACTAATAGAGACATCGCGTAACGAGTGGTTAAAACTGCAAGCACTCTACAAAAATGATTGGCCATGGGGTATAGAAGGGTTTCGTCTCCTTGACATACACATACAGTATCCAGATATGAATCAAGCTTTTAATTTCAAAGTTTACTGCCCTGGAGGGGATTTGCATAATGGCATGGTCGCTATTAGTGATATGGTAAGGCGTCGTGTTTTAATATAAGTTCGCATACTTCATTCGACCATCAGTCCTGCATACTGGGTGACTGAATTAGTAAATTAAAAACAGTTTTTAAATAAAAATATAGAAACTATAAATATGGTATTTTTTATATGCGCTAAATTAAAATAGCATATATATTCATCGTCAAAAACAAAGTAACACACGTTATCATGAAAACGGAAGAGCTACAATGATCAGATTATCTGATGCATTATTTGCCTAAAGTTGAGGTGTTGGCTGCTATGGAATGCATTATTGTATCAATTTTTAAATTATAACTCACAACCATTCGTCTTAGACTCCTTATACTTATACGATACATATTAATGCATAGAGAGCAATCACTAACATTTAAGTAACTAAATAATAAATCTAAATCATATTTCAGGAACAATATTATCAGGTATACGTTTATCCTATTAATAGAGATATTAGCAATATGGAACATGCATTGATCAATACTAATATTATAGATTGGAATAGAACTCTCTGCATTCGATCTGCAAACAAGGAAACTCTTGCCTGTTTAAAAAGAATACAGCAACAATTATCTTTGCGACTAAGCGAAGATAAAGTATGTAAGCATTTATTGACGAGGGAATCGAAATCAATTGAAATATTAAAGTAAGTTTTTGTTGGGTAAATGTAATAATGATTATTAAATAACATAACATACATTGCTCAAGGGCCTAATTGTCTAATTTTAAAATCTATATCAATCCCTTGAAATTTGGTATTTGCGAACTTCACGCTACAACTATTCGACTTTGCACAGTACGAGTCCCTATGTAATGGCAATAAATTTTTTTAATAGATTACCCCATAATTAAAAAAAATATAATTAATATCAAAAAGTTGTAAGTTGTAACGACATTGAAGCAAAATCTCATTGACAAGTGTTATTATAGTGTCCAAGAATATTTTGATGACAAATTGTAATATTTTATTGCCGTTGCCATACCATGTTTTTCTTTCTTCCTTGACAATTTAATTTATCTCTTGACAATTTAACTTTTGTTTTGTTTTGACATCTACATTGTGACATAGTTTATAATTTTTAATTCTAAGCATTTGACATTTATTGTACTTAAAAAATTACCAGACAATTAACATTAATTTTATATACTTATGATTATTTCTAAAATGAAAATTAGAGATGAATGTGAAAATAAATGAAATTTTATGAATGTAAGATATTGAGGAAAGTGAAGATATAGAAGATTTTATTAAAAAATTTACTATTTACAATGAAATTTTAATTATAAATTTAAATTTGCTACACCCTTACAGGGTGTCACATAAACTGTGCCTAATAATAACACCTGTTTTACTACATATGTGACATGCAATAAATGAATGAATTATTATGAATTATGACGTGACAGCGATTGCGATCGCATTCGCTTAATCGAAGTAAATAGGAATTATCTCAGGCAAGCGTTAATCGCAGATATTAATATTATAATTACTTAGTTTTTATTATGTTTCTTGATCATTCAAATCGTTATTCATTCTGGAAGCGATTGTGGCTTTAAACGATACATATTTTCATAAATCGCTATACCTTCGAAAGGGTATACGATAGTTTTGAAATTAGACAATTAAGCAGTAGCTTTATTTAGCTTAGCCATGAATTTTAGTAGGCGTCCGGAGATGGCGTTGCTTTTTAATCAGCGTCCGAGCGACTCAGCCACATAGGTTTTTCCCATGTAATTTAATTTAGAATTGGAAATGATTAGTAAAATCGAAACGCTATCTTTCTAGACGAGTCAGGTCATTAGTCATTTTATATATATAGTTTCATATTAGGTCATTAGTTTAGCTTAACATAAATTATATTGTTAGCAATTCTGTTGCACAGACTAGACTAAATTTAGATTCAATCTTGTGAAAGTGCATTCTCAATAGGGCTGACGACTGGGTAAAAAAAACTATTTAGTCCGTTAGTCAGGTATAGAAAAATATTAGGTACATTTTTTGCTTCGATTTAAACAAGAAATGGCTTAGATAAAGGCATTAAAGTTCAGGAGTGGGGGTTTGGAACGTCACAGTTTTGTAGAAATTGTACTAAAGCGTGACGTCATGCGACATTTCAATTTAATGTAACGCCTTTATTTATTTATAACCCAAAAATTTTAAAAAGAATACGTGTTTAATATTCTTCAATAATCTACCTGACGGATAAACAAACAAAAATGAGTCGTCGTCCCTATTGTGAAAATAACGGAGACAACAAAGTAAATCTATTATATTGTAATATAAAGGAGTTTGAAGTGATAGTTTGATTTATTGATTTAACAGACAATTACATTATTTCCAAGAAAGGTTTTATTTACGATATTCTTTAATTACAGCCACCCTCTTAATACGTACGTTGCGCCCTTAAGACCAGAATACTTGGATCTCATCGATCGTACATGGGCTTTTTATAACCCATATTATTCTCGAAGATTCTTCGAAACTTTAATGACGAATAGTCTATCCTACGTGTTATATTCTACAGATAACCACAAACCATTAGCTTGGATATTCATTGACGAAGCAGGTGCCTTTACACATTTATATTGTTTGGCTACCCAAAGAGGAAAGGGTTATGCTGAGTACATTACGAAAATAGCTACAAACGATTTATTGAGACAAGGAAAAGATGTTCTCGCTTATACTTTAAAAGCAAATATACGACCCCAGAATCTTTTCCGCAAATTAGGTTTTCATTTCTTTGATAATGTTACGTATGTGGATATACAACGCATTTAGCACGACCAAAGCTTATGATTTATTATATTATATGTGCCCTAAGTTTATGATACTTTTTTATTGTATTTTATCATACCCGTGTTGATTCCATGTTTATGCTATCTAACAATAATGCTGTAAACTTAGATTATATCCACTGAAATACAAACAGCATGCGTTATCACTACACAGTATAAAACGAAGTCGCTTCCTCTGTCCCTATATGTACGCTTAAATCTTTAAAACCACGCAACGGATTTTGATGCTGTTTTTTTTTCATAGATAATTCAAAA